TGAACAGTTCCTGGGGAGATTCCCTACGGATGCGAAGATGGGGAGGCTGAGAGGACGAGGACATCAGCACAGCCTGTGCTGGTACCAGCCCTTAGAAGAGGAACACTTGGAAGAACAACTGCAAGCAGGAGGTGGATGAGCGCTGTCTCACCTAGTACGCAGCTACTGGGCACAGCCTTTGGGTATAACATGATTTCCCAAGCAAGTCTATTTGTATGAGTTATGCCTCCAAAGTTCATTACTGTGGTTGATACAGATAGATATACACTGAGCACATACTGGCCTGGAAGGATCTTCTGCACTCTCAGACTTATTTTATTTATCTATCCCTCAGGTATTAAAATGACAGTGCCTGATTTTGGTGTCTTCTCCTTGTACCAGGGGTCCTGGGAGCCAGTGGTGATCCAAGAATAAGATGGCCAATGCAACGTAATGAGACAGGGGCCTCAATCTCCACCTTTCAGGTTCAGGTGCAGATTGTGCATCTGCACACAGGTTTAGCAAGTTCCTCACGCAGATGTGTGACTGAATTAGCTTCAATCACTGGGTCTCTTAATGTGCTTAACATTAGGCACATGCTTAGATACCCTGCTAAATCAGGAACACACGGAAAATAAGTAATCAATACATGTTAAATGACATGTCACCTACATACAGCACAAGTCCCACTGGTGTTACGGAACTGATGCATCATGAATGTAGTAGCCTAAGTATCACTCCAACAAGCAACACCAGATGGCAATAAAATAGACAAGGTCCCATTCAACTGAAATATCTCAAGATGCTTTTAAGAGAGGATATGAGAACCAATCTCCAGTTTAACAACTGAAATAGGGTTTGAAGCCATTTTTTTCCCCCGGTAGATGACCAAAGTGTTAGGACGGCTCTGATAGAGATGCAGAGGAAGGAGACAGAAAAAGAAAGGGACATGTTGATCCTTTCTGTTGGAACCAACCAAAGAAAAACAGAAAAGCAGTGAGTGGTAGAGTTGGTGAGAAGGATGAGGTGAAAAAGAGAGATGAGAAACCAAGAGCTAAATGCTGGACAACCCAAGGACCCTGACCTAAGCCCTAGAATGGTCTAACCTGCAGAAGTAAACATGTATCATTGAACACTGGACATGAAAATTGTCCACATCTATGTGTCTTCTGTATTAAGAAAAGACCATTAGTGTTTACAAACCTCTGCAAAGCAAGGGTGGATGCATGGTCCCATTTCAGTGAGAGAGAAAGTGCCCACACCCAGGAAGGGAGCCAGAGGATCCAAGGAAGGGACAGTGCAGCTGGCTTTCACTAAGGAAAGCTTAAGAGCTTCTAGGTTGGGAGCCCAAACACAGGAGCCTCAGGACTGTTTGACAGAAGGAGCTCAAACAGGGTTGGACATGAGATGGTGCACGCAAAACAAGTGGTTCCAATCAGTCTTCCCAGACATACCACCTCCATAAGTGGTCCTCCTTCCAGCCTTTGAGCTGTTTCTGTAGAGGATGGAAAGGATCACAGAACCGTATAATCTTAGAACGGTTTGGGTTGGAAGGGACCATTAAAGATCATCTAGTCCAACCCTGCAATGAGCAGGGACATCTTCAACTAGATCAGGTTGCTCAGAGCCCCATCCAACCTGACCTTGAATGTTTCCAGGGATGGGGCATCTACCATTTCTCTGGACAACCTGTTCCAGTGTTTCACCACCCTCATTGTCAGTATTAGGATACTGAGGCATAAGTAACCTTTCACGTGAGTGCATCTCTCTCCCCTCAGCTGACAGTTAATGGACACTGACATAGGAGCCACACTTGTATGTGAAGCATACATCTTTTACTACCTCTGAGTTCATCTAGGAAGAGAAAGTTTGAGTGAAGCTGAAATTTCAGTTCCAGGGTCAAACACATTCTTTCAGAGACAGAATGCAGCATCAAGAGATATGTTATTATTACCAGTAAAAACACACAAGAACACTATCAAGAATTACAGACAGAAGAGACAGGCAGAGGTGTAAATAACACAAGATAAGTATTTATTCAGACAGTTAAATTTACACAACTTATGCCTCTCCAATGCATACATATATCGGACCAATGTCTGCTCTCAGCAATGGTGATTTAAATTAGGAATGATTTCATTCAACCAAGTGGGATCATATCAGATTTACATCTGTGTAACAATGCACAGTTTGGCTCATCATGTTCAAAATAATAGCTGGGTGGTTTGGAGAAATAAAAACAAGTTTTCAGTTCCAGAAAAGGAGAGCAGATCAGAAAAGTATCATCCTTTTTTCAAGCACTGCAAAGACCAATCTTGACAGCAATCCCAGTGAAAACTTCCATTAAAAAGAAAACTAAAATCAATGCAGTATTCTCATTTCAAGTACCTTCCCCTCACCCTTCTCTAAATTATGCTGACAAATATTCTTCTTCTGGACAAGTCACAAATGATCCCCAGAAGGAAGAATTTCTTGTGTTTCATCTCCCTCACCAAGACAAGTAGAAGTGTGAGAAAATTAGGAAAGATATCATAAATGCCAAAAGCAACTAAGCATCAAAGTTGACAAGGGACAGAGTGGTCTACTATATAATGAACAAATAGACCATTAAGGGTCAGCTCACACATAAGAACTTATATTTATGAGCACATATGGCAGATTTATAATGGCCTATTGGAAATATGCAGCTTGCTTTTGTTATAATAAAACCTGTTCCCATTCCAACAGCTTCAGCAGGCTGTGGATCAGGATCCTTTATAAGTAAAGGGCATGGGAGTGCTCCATCCCAGTCTTCACAGAACAATATCCTCTCTTCTCAGAGAATGCTCTCAAAAATAAGCTAGGAAATGATCCCTTAGCTGGGTAAGCTGAAGCTTCCTGACTGCAACAGCATCTGCTTCACAATATTTTTGTTTCAAGTGCAATGTGGTCCTTACAAAACCTTAGCTGTATTCCTAGCATCTGCAGATTACCTGCTGGGAATACTGAATAAAACCCAATTTGGATTTCACTGCAACAGTGTTGTGTAACATAGTACAGAGACACATGTCAAAAGCAAGCTTTTATGGAGAAGATTAACTGGTTTAATTCCTGCTCTCTTGGGATCTTATTCTTCTGTGTATATGCCTATGTAGTGACAGAAAATTCAGCCTCATGGCACAAACTGGTCATCCAAGCTCCACTAACGCAAAAAACATTCCCAACTCAGCTGCGTGGACCCTCTTCCCTTGGGTGTGTCTGCCCAGAACCACCGTGCAAGTCTAAGGAACAGTTTTCTTACTGGACATTGCGTGCTGGCAGGTGACGGAGCAGTACACCATTGCAAGTAAATCTTCAGTCGGTCTCAGATCTCCATCAGTTTAAGACTGAAGACTTCCACTCTGGCATTCAAAGCTGTATACAGAGCCACAGCTCAAGAGCAAACACTGATAACGTTGCCACAATACAATTTTTTAGAGATAATACGCTGCATACACTGGAAATATTGCTATCATGCTATAGCTATAGTTTCCTCAAATTAGAAATATATTTAGGATGCATACATTACAGTCATTTGCAAACATGCAATGAACTGAGTTTTGAGGACTGTCATTCCTACGGAAAACACCAGTCACACCTAAAAGTACAACTGGGCATGATGCAGAGAGTCAGAATGAGCTGGACGGACCAGGTCAGGCATGAAGTGGTGTGCCCACACTTGGATGACGCCTAAACAAAATAAAAATCTGCAAAGAGGTTGTGTATCTAGATTTAGCACATACAGAGCTAACTGGAGCTAACTAGAGCACCCCTGCCACATCTTGGTGTATCCACCCCCGAAAGTATACTACCACCAAATTTAAGAGCTGCAGGCTGTAAATTTAAGAAAAGATTGAGACAGGTTTGAAACATATGGTCTGTGAAATAATATATTCATCATACAGCTAAGACATCTCCCTGCTTTACATGGGGTAAATGTGGGTCTCTATACAAAAACATTATTCTGAAAGACAACAGGCTAAATTTTTAGTACATTCATCAACTACTTTTACGGTCAGGAATTCCATGGCCTTAATTGCCTAATAATTAAACTTCATCATTCTAAAAAAAAGAAGGAAAAAACCAACTTCATAATGAAGCCCAGTCTATTAGCATGAAAAATCTGATCAGAAGAGTTTGCAAGAAGTCGTGCAAAGTGGTATTAATGACTAGCTGATTAATTTTTGTGGCTCTTTAAGTGTCTGCAAATGTTTCAAGCGATTGTGTTTGTATAAAACAGAACTGTGAAGCCCAAATTCAGAGGCAAGCCCTAGACAACCCAAAAGTTGGCTTATTTCCTTTCTCAAGGACAAAACTCTTTAGCTCTTCATTGCCTTCTTTCATTTCTTGTTCATAGATCGACCAAACTAAAGGCAGAGACTTTACCAGGAGCAAATGGCACTGGGCTCAGGGGAGGAAGAGAATAACTGGAGGCACATTTGCTATTCTTACTTTCTGTAACACAGGAAAAAGCATCACTACTGCTATTTACTACAAAAGACACCAAATACTCAGCAAACAAGTGAACAAGAACAAGCCTGTGAACAAAACTAAGAGAGAATTACACCTCAAGGGTCCATGCCATGGGTCCAGCATAAGCCAGGAGGAATTTCATACAGATATAAAACTCTTGTTGAAAAATGCTAAAACACAGTTATTCAGGTTGGAATTGAGACCTTCAAACACATGGTTAAATTCAGCCCTCATGACCTTTTCAAACCCACTGATATCAATAGAGTATATGAAAGTATAATGCATATATTAGCAGTTTCAAAGGCTTTTTGGAAATAGGAAAACTCTAGCATAGTTATAATCTCTCTCTCTCTCTCTCTCATTAGCTAAAGCAGCTGCCCAAATGACTATCAGCCAACTCAGAAAGTGTTCAGCTGTTCCTCCAAAGTAGGGACTGTGGCCTGGGGTTGGACAGAAACAAACTGGGGTCAAGCAGAGGATGTGCCAAGCATTTCTGTGTACTGTGGTTAATCAAATAGCACACAGTACATTTACAGCTTAGTTTGGACCGTAGGCTCCATAGCACGGATGTGGACACTAGGAAGGCAGAACCAGGAGAGAGGCAGCTCCCTGCTGCAGTTATCTTCATGGAATTTGATATTCAGGTAGAAATCACCTGTGTAGAGAAAGAGAAGTGCTCCAAAGTACACAGAGTCTTTGGTCGGCTTCACCTGGAAAAGCGAACGTGAAAATCAGTATAATTAAACCATCAACAAAATAAAACAGTTGCACTTTGCAATTCAGTAGGTCCTTCAAATGATTTCAAAGCACTCTAGATTCACATCTCAGTATTGCCTTCACACAAAAAGGAGTAAAGATCTTGTCCCTATACTATCAATGGTAAAACTGGAGCATTGAAAATTAAATCCTGTATTATTCTTTCATACAGCAAAGCTGTGGCATAGCTCAAACCAGAACACAGATCTTCAGGAGTCACTGATTCCAGAACAGAGTTAGTTTAAGGCAGAGATGACCCAAAATCTATCCTTAGACTGCATTTATCAACGTCTATATTAAAGGTCTGAATCATGTCTCTGAACTTATGTTAAACACATGGTTAAACACCATTTAACAACTTAGCAATAACTAAATTCATCCCCACTTATTATTCAGACACAATCTGACTGCAAATTCTAATCAAGAATCTTTAATATTCACTATCATTGAAATAATTAAGTTTAGCAAGAAACTTCCCACAAAAAGTAGCCACCCTGATTTAACTTGTCCAAATTAAACACAGTTCACACTGTTTCTACATTTATATTTCTCCCTTCATCACAAAACCATTTACAATCCATATCTTTACAACAAATAATATATCTCTGTCCATCATTTCAGCAAGACACTTAAGTAATTTCTAACTTTAACAATCCCATGACTGTTCATGTAATGATGTTTGAATTAACATCTGCTTCCACAAGATGTTAAATCCAGTTTCAGGGTGCCTAGATTTGGGTTGAAGTTGCTGCAGATGCAAAACATGGAATTAGCACAAAGCCATTCCATTGGATGGAATTTATTAAAAAAATTGTGAAAAGGCGACTTCATCCCAGCAGAAATGACCCAATAAAGGGCACCTGATGCTCCTCAGTACTGGTCTTCCCTCAGCCAAAACCATCTTACCAGTTCCTTTCTGCTCTCTGGACCCTGAAACCATCAAGTCAAGATATACTCATGGCACCATCCCTACTTTCACAGGTAGGTCTGTGCCCATGTATTTTCTTTTTTACTTGAATACTCATTGGTAATGGGCCTTTCTTTGGTCATCTCCAAACACCTCAGTGTCCATCATGTTACAGAGTCCAGTGTTGATTCCAAATGACAGCATGACACACCACTGGTTACCCAAGTTGACACCCAAGCCAAACAACAACAGAAACTCTGGCGTTGGATCCAGAAGCACTGAGCTGTCCAGATGTTCTGGACTTGATTGGATTCAGGGGGAGAAAACCTTTGCAAGGGACATCCCTAGGAACCCATGGGACATTACCACCTGGAACAGTGAAGGGATGAGGCTCTGAGACAGGTTATCAGGATTCTTGCCTGCTACAAAAAATTTGGTTGTATGGTAAACTGGGACATCAACAATGGGGTACTAACTGGGAAAGTGTCTATGGACACCCTTTGCTGAAGGGCATCTTGCCATTGCATAGGAAGACCAGAACAAGGATGGTGACTAGACCATGGTGGGGGAGACGGGGGAGACGAACCGCTAGAAAAAGTTTCCAGGGGTGTGGGGCACCTCAAGAATATGCCAGAGAGCTGAAAATTGCCTGCCATCACCTCCAATGAGGAAGGTTCTCTGTAGCTTTCAGATGTGAGGGGAATGAGCTGTTTCCTTTTTCTCCTATTCTAGGTTTTTTTGGACCTTCATTGCTGGGTCCTTCAGCCAGCAGACATGCACCCTCTATAGTAGGCTAGGGTGTCACGCTTCTTTGTTGAACCTCCCTAAACTGCTGCTCCTGCACAGGGGCCTGGCTGTTCACAAGCAGCAACATCATCAGAGCTGGCAGAGCCCAGGCTCCCTTTGGCTTTGGTGTTGAGCACTTCTGCTGACCTACAGCAAACTTGTAGCAGCATCGTATCATCCACGTGAGTGATCAGAGCAGCCACAGCTGTTCTCCTGACCCCTGTCCTTGGCATCTCCCCTCCTTGCTGGGTACAAGTTCTTACCCTCTGGCATTGCGTCTGGACATGCAGAACAACATCAAGCAGTCTCCTCTCTTGCTTCCTTCCCCTCCTCCTGGGGCTGTCTGCCTTATTTCTGCCTCACTGGAACTGATGCGGATTTGCATCCAGAGGAGGACAGAGGCAGGCACCAATGCCAGCAGTGGGTAGAGGCAAACAGCAAATGAAGCCTCCTCAGGACTCATACCTTTTTCAAGCTCCTGGTCCATTTTTCCTAGCCTAGCTGCACCTTGAAGAAATATCTGTAACAGCATGGATCAGAGCCCTTGACAAACAGGAAGGTGGCTTCAGGCACATCGGCATCAACACAGTCTTTTCAGTCATTTGAAGTTCTGCCTACATGATTGCTCGTTCCTCCTGCCTTTACAGCACAAGTCTCTGCACCAGTCATGAGTTTCTCCATCATAAGTGAGAAGAGCCAGCAAGGCAGGGAGTGGTATGTGTCCTGTTCTGCCTGCAGCCCATCTCCCTGTGTGCAGTATGCACAGACCAGACAACAATGTTCATGGTTTGGGGACTATCCACATCTGTATGGCCACCTGTAGAACACTATGGTAATCAACACTTGTGGTTTGGAGAAGAAACAGGGAAGCAAAAGTAGCTTGAAACCTTTGCCCTGTTGGGATACAAGTGGCTCTGCAGAACTTCTTCCAAAATACTAACTAACTTTGGAAAGTAAGGCAGCCTCTCTAGTGGGGCTGCCTACAAACATTCCCAGAAGACCACAATTGGCAGCAGTCAGGTCAGTAGAGGGCCAGATCCAACCCAACTGGTATACCAGGCAGCGGACTAATTTTGAGGTTAAACCACCTATGTTTAGGTGTCTCTCTGCACACTAGGCATCCAAGCTCCTACTACAGTAAGAAGACATCTTGTCAATGCAGCCAGTGGAGCAAGCACAGAATGGTCTACCTAGCCAGCCTATAGAGTCAGGCTACACTTGCCTAAACATAGGCACCTCATGACATTTGGGATGACCTAAGGCACTGAGACGTCTGCCAATGGCTGGCGAGATTTACAGGATGATTTACAGGATTTCTGGCAGTAGGTGGAGGCCAGGTGGGATACCCACAGCACCTAAATGATGGTAGACACCTACTTTTAGGCAACTGAATCTTAACCCTAGTGTCTATGTTAGTGTAAGCCAGGTTCTACTGGCTGCAGACTACATCTCCATTGACTAATTGGGAGCTTGGCTGGCCAGCATCCATGGTAACACCTACTCATTCAGATGTCTCAGTCTGGAACTGAATACACCCAAATGTCTGTAAAGTGGATGTCCACATCTGAGCCAGCTGTTCAACACAAGGATTCACTTGTCAAATGTAGAATGAGGTAAAATATCCCCACAACTCCATCAACCTTGATGACTTGCTTTCCACTGACTGTGAAGGGAACTCAGAGTGACTTGTTCAGATGTGTACGCAACTCAGATGTTTCCTGCTGCATCTGACAGTACACACCATCCCACTGATTGCAATGCATGATCCAGCCAACCTACGAGAAACACGAAGATCACATACTCGTGCCTGATCCAGACCAAATTTGTATTGTCATTCGATCTAGCAGCACACAGGGCTGGTAGTGTCACCACCTAGATATGTGCTTATATGTGTGCCAGTCTGGGATGCTGTTGAATAATTGAGTCAGAGTTGAAACAGATTTTACTAAAATTCCACCAAATTGTGGAAACCAAAGACGGGAAGCTTCTACCCCAGAAAAAAATGACTGAAGAATCAAGAAAAAAATGCCCACATTACTCCTCTGCTCCACTGAGATAGAAGAAAAATTAAGTTTTTAGCTCCATCCTAATCCTTCCCTGATTCAGGCTACCATGTGGGACTGCGATTGCTTAGAACTAATTACTACTTATTTATACTGCTGTAGTACTTAGGGAGCTCAGTTGGAGATTAGGGCTAGTGCCAGCTCTGTTCGCTGCCCCAAAGAGTTTACAGTGCGAGTAAAACAGTGCCAAGAAAACTAATTTGTTCCAGATGGGCCACAGAGGACCTGCCAGAACTGAACAAACGTTCATCGCAGCTTCTGAGCTGATTCAAAATGACCATCTACTGATGAATTTCTCCTCATCTCCCACTACCAATCACTTGAGCTAGTGTGTGATAACACATGCAGGAAAAAAACCTGCTTGAGAATAGTAATGGCAAAAGCAGGAACAACAAGGAAAGATGAATTGCTGGTAGTTACAGGAATCTCCATAGAAGATAATTTTGGGGGTTTTGATTTGGCAAGAAGCAACTCTGTCTGATCAACTACTTAGTCAAAAAAAGCCCATTGGTAAGAACGAAGATTTTTTAGTAATATGTCTAAAGCTAAACTTCAGGTTGTGAAGTGAGATAAAAAAATAAATCAGTGCAATGTATTTTAATGGCTGGGGGTCCACCATGTTACCTCATGTTTCAAAACCCCGCACTGATCAAAAATGTCTACTATCTATATGATAACTGGTGAAGTAACTTTTTCTGTTAAATACAGACATAGAAAGGTAAGGTTAACCAAATTAGAAGGTGTGCTTAAACCCAAAGATTTTACTTAATTTAAAATGCATGGAAATATCTCAATAGCCTTTAAAATTTTCAGTAAAAGAATTTGCTTTTTTGAAGTAGTATATCCCAGCAGAGACTTTGTGACACAAATGCAGACTGCTGCATTGAATTGAAGTAAGAGCACAAAAAGGTGAATAAGCACTCATTACGTTACTTCCATGATAAATCATCTAACCTGGACTTCAAGCCACAAGAAAGAGAAATATGAAATCGTATGACTTTTACCCTTTAAACAATTTATATGCATACTGCGAAGTAGCATGTGCATGCTGAAAATTCCTGTACATAACCCCTGTCTTCCAGATATCAGCAGAAACTGATTTGAAACTTTTTAGTCTGGAAACAAAAATAATTGTCATTTGCTGAGCATCAGGCTTAATATGAAACTAGCATTTAGGAAAGCAGAGGGGGTTTGGGTTTTGTTTGGTTTTTCCCCCAGAGAAATCTCATTCAGTTGAGCACCAATAATGTAGTTTCTGCATTGGCATGACAACAGACCACATTTTCAGGGCGTGAGAAATATCTTCTCTTGCTGTAATACCTGATGCTCCCACTTGCTCTTGACTATACACTACTGATAAGCCAAACCATACGCTAGCCCTCCATCCTTCCTCCCACCCAGCTCAGCAGCGCAATAAATCATGTCACCACCTCCTTGCCAGTGTCAGTGTAAAGTCAGCCCAATTAGCTTAAACTGCTGACGAATGTAGTTTTTGCTAAACTGGCCAACTTTGCACGAAAACAAATGCTCACACCATCTCTCCCACTGGGTCTGCTGGGGAAGAGGGGAGCATCTTCCCATAGAGGGGCAGAAACAAGCAGCTGAGAAAAGGTAGCATCTCAAGCCACCTCTGTTAAACAAGCAAAGTAATCGTGTGCCCACGACCTCAGTTTATACACACAATGGGCATATGTTTAATAGCTTCGACAGAGCAGCACTGAGTTACACTAGCAGGGAATCTGGTCCAGTGTCTCAGCTTTCATTTACAAAAAAGAGAAACTCTAAATCTCTTTCATCTCACCCAACCATGAGCTGCTTTGGTTTCTTAACCAGCGTCTGTCTGAATTTCTGCCAAACTCAGAGCATGAACACAATTCTGAGTATGTTCGTTCTTCCCTGAAGCATCAAATGCACAAATCAGGACTTTCTTCTTGTCCCCAAAACAGGTGTGGCTTTCTGAAATCTTTTTTCCATTACTGAATTAGTTATTATGGGGGATGAAAGGGCCTCTGACAGCATTAGATACACTGTTTGAAGAATTTTCTTCCATGATCAGGGCTCTATGCCTCAAAGAAATATGACTAAGCATTTTCTCTAGGAGCCTGTGTAGGACAAGTATCAATACTACATACCATGAAATATAACACTTCTTGTCTAAGAGTCGACATTTTCTTCATTTCACCTTTTTGGATGAAAAGGAGGACAAATAGCAGAAAACAACTCTATTTTTAACTTATCGGGGACTGTGTTTACAGGAGAAATGTCACAATACTGAAAACGGGGCAAAAGCAGGGACCGTAACATATGAGAAGGCTGCCTGGGCCAGCACAAGAGATGTGACCTCCTGACTTTGTGCCCTGTAGGAGACTCAATCAGAAGGTAAGAATACATCATGCTGACATCTCCCTTTTCCCTCATTAGCCTGGAGGGTCAGGCCCTTCAGCAGCTGGGCACCCAAAGACTGCCACTCTGATTAAAAAATCCACATTGTCAGATAGAGAGTCAAAGAAATCCATCTCTTGATTATTTCTGTTGACATATTTAAATAATTCAGCTAAGAATGTAGTTAGCCCCCATTAAAATTCAAGTTGATGGTGTATTCCTCATTAGCTTTTTGAAATATTTTCTCCCCATGATGCGTAATTGAAAAATATGCCTGGTGACTATGCCTGTGGTTAACCTTTAATTTCTTTCTTACTAAGGTTCCCTTATATATTCAGTTTTGACAGGTACATTTTATTAGCGATCCGAAGAGCTGACCTAAGCAAAGGTCCTAAGCACTATCCCAAAAACTCACTCTCTTCTTCATGTTTATTTTATAAGTTACCAGAAATACTGCTTATTCCACTCTGCAGTACTGTCTGTATGTTTTTCATTCCTGGTTTTCTGTTGTTGCGGGTTTTGGGGGAAGGATGTGGGAGAGAGTAGTTTTATCTGTATTTTCAGTGTCTTGCCTTAGAAGCAAAAAGCTCCTAGTCTCGCATATTCTAAAGAAGAAATTGAGAGAAAAATCAAAATCTCATTTGTTCTAAAAAGGGACTTTTTTGTCTCATTTTAAGCATGTTTTCTATTTTTCTTTATGGTTTTATAACAGTATGCTAAGCGACAAGGAAATGAACCAGCTCATCAGATCGGTCATTAATGTTTAGCATTTTCTTTTTGCAGTCTGTTGCATTTCCTCAGGACCTGACTAAAACTGATTTGCTGAGTTCCTTGGCTCAGCCTGGGGAATACTTCTTATGGACTAAAAAGTTACTTAAAATCTATTACTGCAGGCTGCACTGGATGGCTCAAGGGACTGGCAATATGGTATTGAATATTTTATCTAGGTTACCCATTCACATTTAGTCAGATCTGGAGTGACCAAAAGTTACTGTCTCTGATAGTTTACCAGTCGTTTACATGATAGGAAATCACAGTCGTAAACCATTTCAGAGAGATGATTCTGTATCCCCAAACCTAGCAGCACCTTTAGCAATAGCTGCCATAATCACGGTGCTTTCCAAAAATTAATCTGCCTTAAAATGCACAATCGAATAATGAAGCCCTTTTCTACAAACGCACGTCATCCACAATCATGATACGTCTGATAGAAAGACTTACTGAATCGATGTAGAAGGTGTTGGATCCCACAAAGGTGATAGCATCTTGCAGCTCATAGTTGTGCACCCCATTTTGGTAATCCTGGTAGGGCGTCATGGTGAGAGCGAAAGGCCCCACGCTGTGTTTGCTCCAGTTGGTCAGCTTCACCTCCAACGGGATGGGGTCTCCCACTTTGCAGTTCACCACGATATCACAGTCACAAAGCTTGCCATCAACGAGGATATCTGCAAATCAAGAAAACAATTCCACATTATGTTGGACTCCTGCTTTAGAAACTCTATTAATCTTGATAGGAAACTTAACAAGAAAAAGTAACCTCAATGAAACCAAGAGTACATGACAGTTAGCCTTAGGAAAGAAAACCCAATGTTGCAGTGTTGTGTAAGGTAGTGTTGCAGGGAAACCACTTGCAATAAACACTTCATGAAGGTCTGGTATCCGTTCACAGCTGTTGAAAGAGCTACGAAAAAAACAATTACGACCTATACACAGGTGCCAGAAGGGTTTTTTTTAACCTCCTCCCTCGAAGGCCAAAGCCACGGACAACTTCTCATGCTTCTCCTGCAAATCAACAGCATCAGGTGAAGGGAAACACAAACAGGAATCATCAATACAAATGGTAGCTAGACAGATCCAGGGCTGGATGCCCATGTTCACATGTTACAGCCAGAATAAATCCTCCTGTATGGAGGTGACCTTTTGGAGCAGGACAGACACTGCCAGAATTTGCAATGTAATACATATATTAAAGTCCAGATTATAAGGAAAAAAGGGATTTTAAAATTATACAGCAGTACTATGAGCTTGTTCACTCTTTGCGCTTTAATTCATTCTGGGATTTCTATTTTTAACTTTCTACTTTTCTTTCCCTTACTGGGATAGCAGAAAATATAAAGCCTCTAAATTGGTTACTGCTGGGACAATGACAGCTGGAGTAATGTGTCCACTAACCTTGCCCATTTGCTTATACAGAACCAAAATGTTTCATTACCAACACACTATGAAATTGCTAGTCCAATTCCCCAGTCTGAAAGGGTTCCCAGTTGTGCAGTATTACTGTATTTTTCAGATGAGGGTTATCTCTAATGCACTATTAATACAGGAACATTTCTATTTCACTGTGGGTTCATGTTCAGAGATAAGAGAAAGCCCTGGGCACATGTAAGAAAGCATCCTCTGTGTGAATACCTATCCCCACAATCTCACACGCCCATGAGGCATTTCGATCACTCTAGCTCCTTCTCAGTTGCTTGCCTTATGACATACAGCATATTATTCCTCTGCCAACAGCATCAGATTTACATTAGTAATACCCCCTCTTCAAGAAAAGATACTGTTTTTATGCTTCAGGAGCTTTCACAGAAAAAAAAACATTTTACACCAAGGTGATTTTTTTTTTCTTATTTTTGTTTTGTTGCCTTAGACAAAAAAAACTACAAAATGATGCATGTTCTTGTGATGCCCTTTAGCCTGGCAAACTGAACAAGCCTCAGCGCACCACCTGGGAAAAACAAAACAAAACAAAACAAAAACCTAGTGCCAAAGAAGAAACAAGTTCAGAAAGGGACAGCCCCTGTGCAAAAACTTTCCTTTCCAAAGGAGATGCCAAGTTTTTGACAACGAGAGCACTGGTGAGCCACACCTGGAGTACTGTGTCCAGTTCTGGGCTCCTCAGTACAAGAGAGACATGGACATACTGGAGAGAGTCCAGTGAAGGGCCATGAAGAGGATTAAGGGACTGGAGCGTGTCTCCTATGAGGAAAGGCTGAGGGAGCTGGGACTGTTCAGCTTAGAGAAGAGAAGGCTCAAGGAGGATCTCGTCAATATATGTAAATACCTGAAGGGAGGTTGCAAAGAGGACAGAGCCAGGCTCTTTCCAGTGGTGCCCAGTGCCAGGACCAGAAGCAATGGGCACAAACTGAAACACAGGAGGTTCCCTCTCAACATCAGGGAACGCTTTTTTACTGCGAGGGTGACCGAGCACAGGTTGCCCAGGGAGGTTGTGCAGTCTCCATCCTTGGAGATACTCAAAAGCCGTCTGAACATGGTCCTGGGCAACTGGCTCTAGGTGGCCCTGCTTGAGCGGTGGGGTTGGACCAGAGGACCTCCAGAGGTCCCTGCCAACCTCAACCATTCTGCGATTCTGTGATTCTGTGAAAGGAAGCTATAATCACCATTGCATTTTAGGAAAGGGCTAGAAAACCTGTTGGCATTGGATTTCTTTTGCAATAGCACACTCTAATGTTATGGGCTCTCCTGCCCAACATGATCAAAATGCTTCTTGCAGGATTGCCCTAACACCATGGAGTTGAAGTAGTGGTTATAATGGTATCCCATTATCTGGGATTAACTGACTTGCGTTTTTCAAAACACAAAAATATGTGTGTGTGGATAATCTTTGTGCTTCCCAGCCTCCTGTCACAGAATGGAAGTCCAGCTGCTTCCTTCAAAAGAAATGCATTTATATCAATTCATTACTTCATATCAGTTTATGTTTTCAAGCTTCTCCCTGAAAGGTAAGTGTTTTCATCTAAAAAAAAAAATGTAAAAAATCTTTTTTTGTGGTTCCTCCAGCCAGCAGGTCTTACAGCTGCATGAATGGTTAGCTCCCCAGACCAGCACGAACTGGTCAGAAATACTCAATAAGCTAGGTGCATGAATCTTTACTTTCAAGCTGCTCATCAACTTCCCTTTTAGCTTTAAAATTCAATGCTCTGCTGTAGGAATTGTAAATGAACCCTTTGACCTCTGTCTCCACCTTTGTATCTAATAATAGCTCAGAGCATTGGATCCTAATATCTTCATGTGAAAATACAAAATCCAAACAAAAGAGAGGCAATTAACTCTGGCTCAACCAGATTAATTTTCCTTCGTATTCCTAAAAAAATTAAATTCATGTAGGATTGATTTAAGACCGTGTGTGTGCACACGTGCTTGTGTACATATTGAGAGATTATTTCCTTCCCTCCCAGCACACCCTTCCCTCCTGCAGTACTGAAGCCAAGGATCTCAATGAGATGTCAGATGAGAAAACACACATGGCTGGCATGCAAAATACTATGGAAAGGAGTGTTTAAAAACAGTCCCCTTTCATCAGAGAGAACAGCTTGGTTTGACAGGCAGTTTTACTCACTTCCTGACACAGAAAACATCTCATGGACCATACGGATTTGCTTTAATATTTTCATCCATGAACAGAGGAAAAGCCATGTGTACAGGGTCCCATTTCTGCAGATTCAGCTCACTCACACAGATGGCATATAAAAGCTGAGACTGCTCACACCACTGCTGTGAGAGTGAATCATTATTGGCTTCAGTATACAGGAGCTCTGAATCAGAAGACACATTCACTAGGACAGAAGACAGTGGTGGCCCTATCTCCATCCTCCAAAGATTCAGATACAAGAGAAACAGTATTTCGGAAAATTGGAAGGACCAAGTTTAATGCAAACAACATATAGAAATTACATTTAAAAGGTGGAAGCATAAACTGGCTGTCAGGGCAAAAAAACCACAAAGACCTAGCATTCTCCTTCTAATTAAAAGTTAAATCCTTTTCAAAGTACTTTAATAAGCCAACAGAATGCTGCTTTCCCCCCCCCCCACCCCCTCGGTCCTTTCCTGCTCATTTACCTACATGTGTCCACTATGTTGGCATCCTTGGATACCAACATTACCCTGCAATGCTTGGTAGCCACAAAAAAAGGAATGACACAGTCTCTGCCATGCACCCATGAACAGGCACAGGACCACTCTATTTTATCTCTAGGACCTTCTCTAAGTGATTATTGTATCAAGGGAGAAAATGTTGTCCAACACATTTTGGAAAAGGCAGAGGATGGGGATGATACAAGCCACTGAGAAGGGTGATTGGAAAGCCTTGCTTTTTCACTGATGGCTTTAGCCGAGACTTTTAGGATCTCTGTGAATTAATCTTTTAGTTGGAAAAACTACTTCATGGTCCAGCTGATAGGTGATGCTTATTGACACCACAGTCAGTCTAGGAGACCACTATATAAAGATAATACATCAGAATTTTTATAATGTCTTTCTTTCAGGATCTCAAACCTCTCAAAGAAAAGGGAATGAATGTTATTAACAGGAAGACAATCACTATTCCACAAGAAAAACATCATTTACCATCACCTGCCAGGTGCACTTCTGTCTACATCACCCCAAGGAGCAGCTTGGAAATGAATACCAAACATTATTAACATTTTGTGTTATTTACTCTGCTCATATTAACACACAGTAAGTTGTTCTTGCTACTTTGTCAAGTTTCCATGTAAGCACTCACAATTTATTGGCCCACCTGTACATCAAGAGTCCCAAGTCATGGCTAATTGCATTTCTGCACCCAACTCCCTATTTGCCATTGTGAAAGTTTAATTTTGGAAAGGCGCATACAAATACATGTTTAATCTCAGTGGAAATGCATACTTCAGCAATGTTTACTCTCCACGCTCAAGTTTGGGTTCATTTTAAAAAACAGGCTGCAGAAGAAGGCAGGGCTTTTGTGCTCATCTTTACAGTGGAGGACACAGAAATTTCCACCGGATATTTGCTTTTAAACTGGATGTTGAATTCCCAAATGATGCAGATGCACTGGCCCCTGTCATTCAATGCAGCTGAGAACCTGGCTCAAGACTTGGAGCAAACACCTCACAGAGGCATGGCTTTGCACAAGTGAGTAGGTCAACAAAACTCAAGGCAAGAGATGCCCAAATGAGTAAATACGTCTCACATAAAAGGTAGAAGAGATCTTCAAGCCCAGAAAAGCAAGCCTTGCTTGGCTGTACTGTGATAGTTAAGGGAATTTTAGTCAATCAACCATTTTTTATGCTGTTAGAACTGTTCCAAAATACTAGTTTTACTCGTCTCAGTCTGTGAACTGGGAGAGCCATGGTCCGAGGAAGGGAGACGAGCAGGAACAACGCTGACATCTCTAGGTAATGTCCATCAAGTACTTCGATGGAGGAAAGCCAAAGACCAAGAGCCCAGGCCAGAGTCGCTGCAGTGAAAGTCTCACAGAATGATTCAGTTTTTTTCTGTGTTCACCAAATCTAAAGTGCTGATTAAAATGTCTGCCCAGGCCAGCTCTACTTCTAATTGACCTAAAAGAGCAAAGAAAGGGCCAGCCATGCTGTCTGGAACAACTTTTTTCTTTTTTCCTGCCCTCTTCTGCGAGAATGTTTTTTTCAGAATTTTGCAAGGAACTTAACAA